AATGTAGAATATATTTATACAATATATATTAGAATTAAATTATGCTCTTCACAGCTTATACCCTAGATAAATACAGTATTGATTTTAAAACTTGATGAATGAAACCATAAAAGTTTCTTCCATTATTCAAAAAATGCTAATGGTCACTTTGTCAGCACTGTGCTAAAGGCCGAGAACACAAGAATGAAAGAGACACAATTCCCGACCTCAAGGAACTGAGTCTACAGGAGGGGTCAAACGAGGATACAACTGTTTACTATCCAGAGTGATACAGTCTGACAGAGTGGGCACAGGATGCCGGGGAGCACAGAAGAGGGGCATGAGGCAGTCTGGGAATGGGAACATCGGATAAGCCTAAACTGGAGATGTGAACAGTGACGAGGAGGCCGTGCCAGGCACAGGCAGCAGCACATACAAGACCTAGAAGGCAGCAAGAGCAGAATGGCTTAGGGGAGCCTCAAGTAGGTAAGAAAGACTACAGCAAAGCAGAGGAGGAGATATTGGCATGGAAAGATGGTGTACAGAGGGAAAGGCCTGAGCTGAAGGATCTTAATTCCGAGTATTTGGATTTACCTTCAAAGCTATGGAAAGATCTGTTTAGAAAGACCACTCAGGGGGCAATGTGAACACTGGATTAGGGAAGTGAAGAGAACTGAAGTTGGAAAAGGGGGGGGGGAAAAAAGCACTCAAAAAACACAAAAAACTCACCCAGTGTCAAAACTTGCATCGGCAACAACTTGAAGGCTTTCCAAAGATGATCCATCATTTACATGCAAGAACAAGACTTCCTTCTGAGATCTGACTGAGCGAATCCATCCCTAAAGAGAAACACTTATAAGTGGAAGCTTAAAACGTATGAATGTGGGGCCAGCAGGTGGCTTGGTGGTTAAGACGTTGGACTCCCACATGACTAACCGCAGTTGAGTCCTGGACCTGGCAGCTTGTTTTCTCACTTTCCCTCTTTCTCTGTCTCTTTCTGGTGAGCGCACGTGTCCTAGAGTAGAGCAAATTAAAAAATAAAATTAAATAATTAAAAAAAAAAAACATGTGGACATTGGGATAGGAGTTGGCGTAATGGTTAGGTTGCTGGACTCCCATGTAGTTGACCACAGCTCGAGTCCTGGACGTGGTGGCTTAAACTCACGCTGAGTGCATGTACGGGTGTGCCCAAGATCCCAAGAGGAGAATGGAGGAGAAGGGATTGCGGCATGGCCATCCCATCTGGGGGGTGATTTCTCGCTCTCTGTCTCTGTCTTTCTGGCAAGCACACATGCCCTATAGCAAAAACCTCTTCCCCCCCTCAAAAAAAGAAAAAAAAAAGTGAACATTTGTGCATTTTCATCACACACACATGTAAATGAAGGACCAAAAACCGTAATGTGCCTCAGCAGATGAACTGATTAGTTCACCCATCTACATACACAATTTGGTATGGTTCTTATCACTGTGAGATTGATGCTTTTGTTACTGACATACTAAGTCTTTTGTTACTGGCAACTAAGTCTGGCTGCTTCTACTTGTGGTCAGTGAAACAAGAAGCAGAGGCTGGAGAAGAAGGGAGTTTATTTCTGTAGCCACAGTACGTGGAGACAGGCAGCAAGCACCAAACTACTTCAAAAACTCCGTATGTGTCAGTATTTAAGGATACAAGCTATAAGCAGGTGCAAAATCATTCCTCACTAGAGAGTTAATGGCTTTCTCCTGAGTAATTATTCTGATTTCTTCAAATACTTTCCTATTCCTGGTTTCTCATTTGACCATTCCTCAAACAGACCTCCCTATAACTCAGCACTTTAGATTGTTTCGTTAGAGGCCTTTTAAAGTTTCTAAATGGCTGCCATCCTGCTAAACCTCAAGGTGGCCCGCTTCACTTTGACATCCCACCTTTTGTTTTTTTGGGTTTTTTTGGAGAGATTTTCACTGTAGGGCGCGTGCGCTCGCCAGACAGACAGAGAGAGACATAGAGACAGAAAGCGAGAAATCACCCCCCAGGGGGGATGTTCACGCTGCAATCCCTTCTCCTCCATTCTCCTCTCGGGATCTTGGGCACGCACGCACACGCGCCCAGCGTGAGTTTTAAGCCACCGGGTCCGGGATACGAACCGCGGTCGACTATGTGGGAGTCCAGCGACATAGCCATTACACTAACTGCTGGTTCCCCCCACCTTTTGTTTTAATAAAGCTCCTCAGGTTGAACGAATACCTAATATTCCATCAAACTAATGAACCTAATTCACATAACTAATCAGCTCAATATTGGCTACTCCAGGTATTCTCTTCATGTCCCCTTATAAATAACAAAGCATATATGGGGACTTCAAAAAGCTTGTGGAAAATGGAATTAAAGTACCAGCTTCTTTTTGTGCAAACATATTTTAAATGCATGCATACGTTTTTCCCCCCCATGCATTTTCCATGAAATTTTCAAGGGCCTCTTCACATATTGTCACCTTTCTTTTATATGAAATTCCCAAAAGGGAAATTATAAATTTATAGACTAGCAATATCTTCATTTTTAAAAAACCTTTTATGAAGTACTGTAACAGCAACAAAAAACTCTAACATTTTTTCCATTTTGAATGCATGTTAAGTAAAATATAAAATTAAAACAATCTAGGGAGCCAGCAGGTGGCGTGGTACTTGGGGATGCTGAACTCCCACACGGGTGACTGCAGTTCAGGTCCCGGACCTTGCAGCTTGCTTTCTCACTTTCTTTCTCTCTCTGTCTCTCTCTGGTCAAATTAAAATAATAATAATAAAGTTAAATAATTCTTTAAAAATAATAAAACGATCTGAATTTAAATGACAAGAATATGTCAGTACAAGTAAGATGTCAAGTAAACCTGTTAACAATGAAAACAACTTTCTCAATATACCCATTTTAAGCTTAACTAGCATAGGAATTAAGGGAGAATAATCTAGCTGACAGTGAACAATTGTTAAGTGTCCCATAAGCATAAAGTCAATGGGTAGAGACAGGCATTCGTTCTCTAAGGAGAAGCAAATGATGATCCTATTTAGAAAAAATGGTACTGACCATCACTTTGCGTACCCACCATAACCTACTGGCATGGTTATTAGGATGGGTCACTTCCTTGCATGTCCATAATGCTTTCAGGGAAAGAACCATGCTTCAGCTGCTTTGAATCGTTTTTCATAATCCCCAAGTGTTTTCAACACCTACCCCGTATTCACTACATAACTAATGTTTTACTATCTTCATACTGTTTTGTCCTCTTCTCCCAACAGCTCTATGGATGATCAGGATTGTCATTTTACAAGCGAGGAAACTAAAGCACAGAGAAGTTAAATAACTAGCTGAAGGTTGCACTGCTGGTAGAAGGTAGAGTCTAATTCTGAACCCAAGTCTGCTTGACTAGAAAGGCCTGGATCTTTTCCCAGGACTACAATGAGTAAGCGTAAATCACCTGGGCCCCTCATCATCCCACAGCCTCCCCCATCCTCAAGGCACCTGCGTTTTTATCATGCTCAGTCAACAGTCATGTCCAGTTTTACTTGTTGGTAAACATTTACTGATCACTTTTTAACTTGCTTCTATTCTAAATTCTTTATAAATATTGTTCTACTTAATCTTCACAAGAACTTAAAGCTATTATTTTAGAAAGAAAAGATGTATTTATAGAAGTCAGTAAAATAGTCCAAGTCACAGATGTCAAGTAGCAGAGCTGGGATCCAGATGCAGTTCTTTCTTCACATTTCAAGTTCTTATCAACAAGCTTTTCTAGAATGCTATTTCCACCCCATATTCAGTTTCCCTGTCTGGGGAACATATCCTTAGGACTAAGCTAACATATCACCTCCATGAAGGAAATCTTCCTTGACCTCCACACAATTACAGAATCACATGTTTTTACACAGCTCTTTATTTAACCTCTATTATCACATTGCTGGGAATTATGTCTTAACTTTTAGACTAAGGCTATGCAACAGAAACTTGAGCCACGAGTGTAATATAAAATTTTTAGTGGCAACATGAAAGAAACACATAGGGGAAATTACTAATAGATTTTACTTAACCTACTACGTTCAAAATATTGGGACGTGGGAAAAGTCACGACACATTTTTGCAAAGGAAAACAAAAAAATACGTCATGACCTTTCTGATGACCCACACAATCAACATGTAATTAACATAAAAATATATGGGGTACTTTGCAGTGTTTTTGCTCCTCAAAACTGGTATGTATTTTACACTCAGAGTACATCTCAGTTAAGGTAGGCTGTATTCCGAGCACAGAGAGCTGCAATAGTGGATAGCTACTATATGAGATGGTCTCTGACTTGCGGCAAAACCATCTTCAAATGTTCTCCTGACTTAGCACAAGATTAAGGCATATCATTAAGGCATGTCAAATTAATAGATGAATGCAAAAATATTTTTATTTTGATGTGGAAAGATTATGAAACCCAAAGTGCAAAGATGGACAGAGTGATCGGACTGTTAGAAACGATATAAGAGGACAAACAACTCCAAAAGTGTGACAGAGCAACCTAAAGTCACCCATCCTGCTTAAGCTGCTCCATTAAGGGAGAAAATCCTTATGAAGCAACAGCAAGGAGAATGTAATGACTGCAGTCCACTGTTCTATGTATCTTGTACCCATGATCTCATTTAATTTGCAGAACTCTAAGGTAGGAACTAATATCACAGACTGAATATCCCTTATTTAAAAAGTTAGGGACCTTAAGTGTTTTGAATTTTGCAATATTTGCATACACATATGATGAGACATGCTGGGGATGGAATTCAAGTCTAAACACAAAATTCACTTATGTTTCATGTACATCTTACACATACATAGCCTGAAGGTAATTTGAAATATTCTTGTACTGGAACATTTTGACTGTCACATGACAAATAACTTGTCACATGTCATCAGGTATTAAATTTTCCACTTGTGCCATCATATTCTCAAAAAGCTTCAAATTTTGGATTTCAGATTTCCGGATTAGAAATACTCAATCTGTATGTCCACTTGCGTAAAAGGAAACTAATGTTTAGAGCACACTACGTGACATACTCATCATTAATGAGATACTTTAAACTCAGGCAACTTGACCCCAGAGCTCTTTTGAACTGCTACATTCTACTCGTTCTTCTTAAAATTACATGCAAAGTTCCACTGAAAGATACGATTTAGTTGAACAGTATTTACAGTCAACCATACATGAATACCGAAACAGGGAACAACATGGCTTCTGCTCTCAAGGAGCTCTCAAGTCAACACCTATATAACTGCAGATATTACGAGAAAGGTAGAGAAGAGGGGCTTGTTTGTTTACATTTGCCTGTACAGTTAATGCTCTGGCATCAATAAAACAATGTCGGCATTTTAGAGTCACTAGCAAATTTTGCAAAAAGTAACGGGTACCTAAGGAAAATAGTGTGGACTCACATGAGGCTACGTTTTCTAACTTCTCCCTGCTGGTTTGACCCAATGGAATAAAGTCTCTAATAAGTAAAGCTAGTCCCTGAAAGAAAATGACTACCCACTTCCCATACACCAACCTGGACCTTAACGCGCTCCCCACTGGCGTTCTGGGCCCCGAGCGCGTCTCGCACGCTCAATCTGGCAGAAGGGTTGAGCCTGGGGCATGGGGCGGAGGAACAGGAGCGGAGGGCTCGGAGCAGGAACCGGGCCCCGAGCATTGTGGAGCTGCCCCAGATCTAGAGGGGACAGTCCTGATTGCAGGGGGTTTGGACCTTGTCTGCACCAGCTCTCCCTGCTTTGCTACTCCAGAACTCCCGGCTGCTTTCTCCTTCGGGGCCCCAACTGTCCCCACAGAGCTTCTCCTTCGTTTCTCTCTTCCCAACAGGGCAGAATGGAGAAGGCTCGCTCCGGAAACGCCGAAGAGAAACCACGAGCTGTAAGCGTTCGGGACACTCTCGGGAGCCACACACTAATTCTAAACCAGCGCCCGACCGACCCAGCAACCCGCCGTCTCAAGCCCTACGTCACACACCAGCGCCGCTTATGTCATCACGCTGCGAGCCGGTGAAGAGAGCATGCGTACTTGAGAGGCCGGCCTAAGGAGGCGGGGCAAGGGCGGGGTTATGAGCTCAGGAGGGCGGAGCCAAGGGGCATCAGCGCTTACTGCAGAAAGAACCAGGGAACTTGGGGTGGGATTTTGTGAGTTTTGACGTCTGGAAGTTCCAGATGAGGCTGATGACTACTGTGATAAATTTAGAGTGGGGGAGCAAAGGACTAAAGAAAGGTAGTTTGACTGGCAGACAGAATTAAGCGCACTGGAGGCTCTCTGTCCCAGCTTCCAGGTGATGTCCTTCACCTCAGGAAACGATTATGATAAACTCGTTAGAATACAAACTGCTAGTCTCTCTTAATGCCCATTTTTCTCCCTCTAATAATAGATGCCCAGAATTGGTGCTGGGTACGTATCTTCCCATAATAAAGATACTCCCCAGTTTCCCTTGCCGGTAGCTAACTGAATTCTTACTTGTAGCCATGGAACTGTGTAACTAAAGTTTCATAAATAAAGTATAGCGGACGTGCTTTGTACAACTTTTGGGAAGAATCATTAAAGTAAGGGATCATCAGCTATGTGAGGATGGGGGAAAATGTTCATGATTGAAAGAGCATGGAGGGGGCCTGAAGTAAATATTTACCTGAATAGAAGAGTGAATGCACTGAGGAAATAATGACTATTAGGCAGCGTTGGGGAGTTCTTCTGGTGCCAGTGGCTCGAACACAAGGACTACTGAACATCCTGTTTTATACATTAGAATATTAAGACTTTGATAGATGAAGAGATTTACTTCCAGTATCTCACAGTGATTAAAATCAGGTTATTCTAAAATCAGGCCCCTATATTTTCTTAGCACCTCTCTTCATATCTTGTCATAGACATGAAGTTATGGCCTACTTTGGAAGTAGACCATGTGTCTAGGACAACCCATTCATCAGTAAAGAAGACGGCTTAACTTGTGAATGTGCATACCTACACTACTAAGCAGCAATAATTTAACTGCAGGCCATGCCAATGCTACAGTTGCAACTATTTTAGAGCACTTGCCACACACTTAGCAAAATGCTCAGAACTGGAGTTACCAAAGGGAAGCAAGGGATCCAAGATTCTTTGTATAAGTTTCCTTTTCCTTTTTTTTTTTTTTTTTTTTTTTAAGATATTTGTTTGCTATAGGACATATGTGCTCACTAGAGAGACAGAAAGTGAGAAACTACCCTTCCAGGGGAGATGACCACACCACAATCCCTTCTCCTCTCAGAATTTTAGACAATGCATGCACATGCGCCCGGTTATGAGTTTTAAGCCACTGGGTCCAGGACTCAAAATGCAGTCAACTACATGGGAGTCCAGCAACGTAACCATTACGCCATCTGCTGGTGCCTGTGTAAGTTTTCTCTTATGTGTTAAGTATAAAAATGCATTAAAAATTATTTTTTGAGTACCTACTAGAAGTACCTGAGCCAGGCACTGTTATGAGTTCTGAGGAATACAACAGTGAACCCTTCTGGAAACTCCTGCACCCCCATATTGACTCACTGGACAGACTTCTCTCTCTTGGAACTGTGAACTATATGCAAAATGATTAAAAGAGGAAAAAGAGAGCAATTTTTACTAGTGCTGAACTCTGACAGTTGAGTAGTCTCTGTCTCGATTCCTATCTAGTTTCTAATCCTGGTTCTCTAGTCTTTCTGTGCATTTTGAGAGCTCCATGATTATGCTTAAAAGCACTTCATTTCACTTTAAATTATTTTGAAATAATTTCAAACTAAAATGGTTACAAGAACAGTTCAAAGAGCTCCCAAATCCTTTACTTAGATTCACTAATGATATTCTGTCATATATCCCTATTGCTTTCTCTGTATGTTTTTATGAGTGTGTATGTATTCTAAATACTTGTGTTTTATACACACACAATAAATTTATCCTGAGCCACTTTGAGAGTTACAGAAATCATTCTCCTTTACATTCAAATCCTACATTGTGTAGTTCCTAAGACCAAGGATGTTCTTCTATATGATCACAGTGTTCAAATTAAGAAAATTTAAGATTAACACCGTAATATACAATCCATTTTTAAGATCATACTATTTGTCCCAATAATATCCTTTATGTCAATTTCCACCTCAACCTCAGATTATATATTGCATTAGTTACTTTTTCTCAAGTCACCCAGAGTATATTTCTATTGCATAAATCAGACAATATTTTTTTTTCTTTTTTTGGAGAGGTTTTTGCTATAGGGCACATGCGCTCGCCAGAAAGACAGCGAGAGGCAGAGAGATAGAAAGCGAGAAATCACCCCCCGCCGAGGGGTATGGCCACACCGCAATCCCTTCTCCCTTCTCCTCTCGGGATCTTGGGCACGCATGCACACGCACCCGGCGTGAGTTTAAGCCACCGGGTCCAGGACTCGAACTGCGGTCAACTACGTGGGAGTCCAGCAACATAGCCATTACGCTAACTGCTGGTCCCAAATCAGACAATCTTAATGATACAATTTTCTTGTTCATAACCTAAGAACCTTTATGCTATAGTATATTCTCAGTAGGTATTAAAATTCTTGTTTTACAAGTCATTATTATGAGGCTCAGAGAAGTTAAGAAACTTACATATGATGACACAGTAATTTCTGGGGCCAGAATTTAAATCCCAAACCACTGCTTATTCTATTGCAAACCTGGCAGGTTACAGTAAACTACAATCCCTGCACTCAACAGTCTTGCAGGCGAGGGGGAGAGACAGATAACAATTAATTAGAGGGGCCGGCAGGTGGTGTAGTGGTTAAGGTGGCTCGACTCCCATGTGGCTGACCGTGGTTTAAGTCCTGGACCTGGCAGCTTGCTTTATCACTTCCTTCTCTCTTTCTGTCTCTCTGGTCAACTTCAAAAAAATTAAAAAATAAAAAATGACAATGAATAAAAATAACTCCTTGAAAACAATTAATCAGAATGGATGGCAGTAAATTCTAGCTGCAGAAGTATGTGCAAGGTGTAGATGGAATGTGGTCAATGAACTTATTTCAAGTACGACAAAAAATATGGTCAGGGCTTCAACACTAATGGAGGAAGATAGCCAGTTTTCTTCCATGATGCAAACTGGGTGTTTATAGATTGTCTACTGTTCAAAGTATGATTAATATCAATGCTGGTCAGCTAACATCCAACATATGCTCAGGAAGTTCCGAATTTAGTTTGCTAACATTGTTAACTCTGAAATCTGCTAATGCAACATTACCTCCTGAATGTTAGACTCAAGGAGTTCCTGCATCATTTCAATTCCTAACTGGGCATTTTGATTAATGTTGACATTACCCAGTTCTGACATTTAGTTGTAACGTACTGCCAAGATCCTAATCTGTAAACTTGCTTAAAATATGCCTTGTTTAGTTTGATGGTTTTAAAATATTGACATTATAAAAGGAGTTCTGAAGGTACAGGGTCTGATCCTTTCAAGAAATCTAGAGCCTTTCCCCTTTCCTTTTTGTTAAAAGTCAAATGAAAAGTAAGCATTTGGTGGGAGGAAAACCAGAGCTACAATATCAGAGCAAATATCATCTCCCACTTAGTGACTTTAGTTTAGAACCTGGTGACAAACAGAAAATATGTAGAGGTCAGGAGTTCAGATGGCATCCAGGGATCTGAGACTTGGAATGAGGATTCCTGGAGTAACAGGAAGATGTTAGCAAATCGATGAATCCCTGTGCTTAGTCAAAAGGTGGAGAATTTGCCAGGGATCTCTACAGAAACTTGGGGAGTTGATGATGGGGAGGAAGAACTGGATAAACTCTCATGTAAGCTGTGCGTAAGTAATTTGCCTTGCAATAGTTAGGTGTTCAAGTAATGTAACATTGTATTAAACTGAAAGTGCATGATAAGGCTATTTTACACAGAGATGTATCTTTGGGTGTAGGGGCCAAATGGTGGCACTCAACCACCAAAGTCAACGTGGGAGTGGTCACATAACGGATAGCAAACTCAAAGCAGCAATCAGAACAGTCTGACTCATGCAGACCTATGGCCTTGGCTAGGTAATCATGGTGTTCCTGGATACAAAATATAGGTGGCTTACTAAATTACTTTTTAAAACTATTTTTAATGAACATAATTGTAGATATTTGTAGGGGTACAATGTGATTTTATTTATTTATTTATTTATTTATTTATTTATTTATTTTTGTGATATGATGTGTGTGTGCTTGCCAAAGAGAGACAGAGAGAGGAATTTGGGGCATGCATGCACATGTATCCAGCATAATTTTCAAGCTGCCAGATCCAGATCCAGGACTGCAGAGTCTCCTGTGTGGAATCCAGTGCCTTAAGCTCCACACCATCTACTGGCCTCTGTACCATGTGATTTGTACAGTATGAGAGCACCATGTATAATGGTTAAGGATAATTAGTACACACATCATTTCAACCCATTGTTGTTACTTCTGTTGGGAACATTAAAAATCCTTTTAGTTACTTAGAGATACACAGCAAATTGTAGCCATCTCTATTCTCCCTAAAATGTTTTGTAACACTAAAAATCATTCCTTCTATCTACATGCAATTTTATTTTCAATAATCAGCATCCTGATAACCCCTGCCCCATCCTTCCCAGCCTCTAGCAGTCATTCTTCATCTATCTCAATAAGGTCATTTGCTTTTTGACTTCCACATATGAGGGAGAACATGTGGTATTTCTTTTTCTGTGCCTGTTTATTTCACTTAACATAATGTTCTCCAAGCTGACCCATTTAATGTCGAATGATAGGATGTCATCCTTTTAAATGGTTGAATAATGTGTGTGTGTACATATACACACATATGTACCCATATGTATATGTACACATATACATCCATATACATATGTATGTATACACACACATATATAATACACACACACATATATACACACACAAGTATGACATATATATGTTCTCAGAGTAACAGGAAGATGTTAGTAAATCAAGGGGCCCCTGTGCTAATTTGGAAAGCTGAGAATTTTCTTGGGATCCCTAGACAACCTTGGGGAGTTTGTCTAAATATATGTCACATTTCTTTATCCATTTGCCAGCTGATGGACACTTAATTTGCTTCCACATCTTGGCTATCGTGGAGAGGGCTGCAGTAAACATTGGGGCACAAATACCTTTGTGTTATACTGATTTCCTTTCCTTTCCATTTATACATAGAAGTGGGAATGCTGGATCATACAGAAGATCTAATTTTATCTACTGAATTACTTAATGCAAATAAGCAGAAAAGTTCTAGGTCAAGTGAACAAAAGTCTAATTCAAATCACAAAGCAGGATCATGGCCCTCAATCAGTTCCAGACTTGGGGCCAGTTTACAGAACCAGATCCCTTGAACAAAGGGGAAACAAAGTCCCCTCAAGGAAGGACCTTGAAATATCATCAAAACTGTATACCATTCATCTTTCCCCTGGCCTTCCCCAGAGAGACCTACCAGGGTCATGGTACACTGGAAAAGGAAATAGTCAGACCTTTCAAGGACCGCTGGATACTGGCTCAGATCACCTAATTCCCAGAGACCCATAACATCCATTAGTTAGAGTAGAAGCATATGTAGGTCAGGTGATTAATGAGGTTTAGGCACAGGTCCATCTCACAGTGGGTCCACTGACTCCCCAGATCCATCCTGTGAAGTTATTTCTCCAGTTCTAGAATGCATAATTGGAATAGACCTACTCAACATCTGATAGAAACCCACATTGTTTCTGATGTGAATGCTCACCAAAGGATGACCCTGGCAAGGGTCTCAGTAGGTGAGCAAATAGGGTAACTTGTCCTATGGATACCAGTCAGTCTCTTTCTCCAGTCACCTCTATTGTTACTCAATGAGTGCATGAACAAAGTTGCCCTGGTGGCAGGGATGAAAGTTATGCATAGGCTCAACAATTCATCAAGACTAACACGGTTATAGCTACAGCCAGTGCTCATCTGCCGGCAGCGGAGACCAAGACTGAATCTCCAATATAGCACCATCCCAAGGGAGTCAGCCTGCTATCTGGTGATGAGCTGATTATACTGAACCACTTCATCATAGATGGTCAGTGTCCCACTCTCTGGTTAGGTATTTGTCTTTCCTGCACAAATTGCTTCTGCCCTAACTGCTGTCATAGACATAAAGAATACTTTATCTGCCATGACGGTATTCCACAGAGCACTGTGCTTTATTTTTTAATTTCTTTCTTTCTTTCTTTTTCTCTTTAGATTTTTGCTATAGGGCACATGTGCTTGCTGGAGACATAGAGAGATAGAAAGTGAGAAATCCTCCCCCAGGGGGATGGCCATGCTGCAGTCTCTTCTCTTTTCCTTTCAGAATTTTGGGCATGCATGCATGCATGCACACGCACCCAGCATGAGTTTTAAGCCACAAGGGCCAGGATTTGAACCATGGTTGACTACATGGGAGTCCAGCGACGTAACCATTACACCATCTGCTGGTCCCCAGAGCACTGTTTCTGATTAAAGAATTCATTCCACAGAAAATGAAGTCTAGCAATAGGCCCATGCTCATGGAAGTCACTCATTCTACCATGTTCCTCACTGTCCGAAAGCAGATGGCTGGAGAGAACATTGGAATGTATTTTTGAAGACTTACTTATTATGCTATCTAGGTGACAATACCCTACAGGGATGAGGCAAAATTCTCCAAAAGGGTATATATACCCTTAAGCAGCATCCAGTATATGGGGCTGTTTCTCCCATAGCAGAATTAATGAGTCTAGGAAATAAGGTAGAAATGGGAGCGGTACCACTGTTACCCCTAGTGACTCACTAACAAAATTTTTGTTTCCTATTCCTGTGGCTTTATTCCTGACTGGCCTAGAAGTCTGAATTCCAAAGGGATAAATGCTTCCACTGAAAGAAGTTAAGATCACTGCCTGGCCATGTCACTGAAACACCAGGAAAAGGGAGCTACTATACTAGCTGGATGATCAATCCTGACTACCAAGGGCAAATTGGACTCCCTCTCTGCAATGGAGATCGGGAAGAGTATGTCTGGAATACAGGGTATCCCTTATAAATCTGAGTATTACTGTGATCTATGATTTAGGTCCTTGGAAAACTGCAATAACCCAATCCAGGAAGGATTACTAATGGCCCAGAGCCATGAGGAATGAAGGTTTGGGTCATGACACCAGGTTAAGAACCAGGAACAGCTGAAGTGCTTGCTGAAGGCAAAGGGAATAGGTAGTGGGTAGTGGAAGAAGGAAGTTATATGCTATTTATAATTTTGCCTGTGTCTCCTGCTTACAGGCTTGAATAAAGGAACTACTGCCTCTAAGCACCCTGAAATACTTTTGTTTTTTTCTGGTCACTATCATTCATATTTGTGCTTAGCATAAACCATTTGAATTATGTTTGGTTATTTCTGTTGACATCTGCCACCCTTTGAACTGGAATACACCAGTGGGTCTTCTGGGTCTCAGGCCTTTGAACTCAGACAAGAATGACTAGTGGTTCTTTAGGGTCTGTAGTTTCCTGGCTCACTCCGCAGATCTTGGGACTTGTCAGCCTGTGTAATTCCTTATAATAAACATATACCACATATTCTCTCTCTCTCTCTCTCTCTCTCTCATTAAAGTTACTAAAACTAGGGCCAGCCGATGCCATAGTGGTTAAGCTAGCTGGATCCCACAGCCGACTATGCAGCTGAGTGCTAGACCAATGACCTGAAAAATATTCTAGGCATGTGTTCATGCGCATGCAAGATATTAAAAGCAAAACTGGATGAGAAAAGATTGTGGCATAACCATCCTCCATGGAGAATGCTTTCTCACTCTCTCTCTGGTGAGTGCACATGCCCTCTAGCAAAAAACGGTTAAATGTAAATAAGAAATTAAAAAAAATTAAAAATTTTAAGAGTTGTTGAAATTATATGTGTACAGTTACTCATAGTATTCTTGAATTATTCTTTCAATTCCTATTGGAAGAATAAATAATACTGGTAATTTTTCTCTATATTTCTTTGTCAGTCTTACTAGAGAGGTTTTTCAATTTTATTCGTGTTTTTAAATGATCGAATTTTGGGTTCACTGATTTTCAGTATTGCTTTTTGGTTTTCAGTTTGATTTCTACTCTTTATTATTTCCTTCTGTTTGTCTAGGTTTATTTTGCTCTTATATTTTCTAGTCTCCTAGGTGGAAAGCTTTGAGGATGATGATTTAGAATTGTGTCAAAGGGTGCCTGCACTCACCAGAGACAGACCGAGAAAGGGAAAGTGAGAAATCATCCCCTGAGGGGGGTATTGCCATGACATAATCCCTTTTCCTCCATTCTCCTGGAATTTTGGGCATGCATGCACATGGTCAGTGTGATTTTCAAGCACCAGGTCTGGGATGCAAACCATGGTTGACTATATAGGAATCCAGCACCGTAATCACCATGCCACCTGCTGGCCCCAAGCTTAAATTCTTGATTTGAGAAACACTGCTTCATTTATCCTAAATTTGTGAAAGTTTGTTTTATGACATATGATTTACACTGGTGAATATTCCATGTGCATTCGAAAAGAATGTGTATTCTACTAATACCAGGCAGAATATTCTGTAAAAGTTAGATCTAATTGATTGTTTTACACAGGTTTTATATATCTTTATTGATTTTATGTCCATTGATTCTACTAATTATTGAAAAAGACATGAAGTCCCCCAACATAATTATTAATTTATCTCCTTTCAGTCATCAGTTTTTGCTTCATACTTTTTGAACTTCTGCTATTGAATGCATGCATAATTAAGTTTTTTTTTTATGTCTTCTGGGTGAACTGCCACTTTTATCATGTTAATTTATCCTGGTAACTTTCTTTGTTTGATATTACTATAGTCTGGTTTTCTGTTGATTAGTATTTTCATGGTGCATCTTTTCCCATTTTTGATTTCTAACCTGTGGATAGCATTGAAACTGAAGGTTTTTTTTCTTTTCTTTTTTTTTT